GTACCCAACCTAGACCCTAAACCCTGAACCCAGTCTGGGTCCTTTGACGTCCAGGAGGCGGAAGTCGAAGCTTCTGTATACGGTTTAGGGTTGAGGGTTTAGGGTTTAGGGTTTCTCTGAATGTTGTCAAAATCCTCCCCTTAATATTGAACACCCGCCAGCATCAGATATTCTTCTAGTATACTGCAATGGACCATTGAATATTAGGTGGTTGAGAGTTTAAAAAACAAGGGGACGTGATTACATTGTCCTCAGTTTACACATCATCTTACATCTAATTTCCACTATTCATGATTTGGTTAAAATGAGACAAAGGCTGGAATGCCCGACATGGTCAACAGGACAGATTGGTGGTTCAACAACACAGAGAGTCCCAACTATGACCCCTGGGAGAATTGGCCATATGAGCTTTATCCTTTCCATATGGCTGGGGGCCCAGGATATCTTATCAGTTCAGAGTTGCTTCGTCACGTCGCCGTGGATTTTATGACGGCGCCGCTTTCTTGGAATGAGGATAAAGCAGTGGGGATTGCTATTCATAGGGCCAACAGTAGTGGATTACCGGTGAGATACCATTACCTCCATATGGATGATGGTGAGTCGGAGGACCCTCCTTACGCTGGGAACTGGAGTGACTACCCATATCTATCACAGCATCAACTGAGCGGCGAGTCGATACGATGCCTGCACAGGGTGGAAGCCACAGGTGGAAATGTTGATGCTTGCTACAGGCACACAAAGTGGCTGTATGAACTTATTCAACAGCAGCGGCACACAGGGAACGACAGCTGAGACTAGGTGTTCAGAGCCATCTGCATTTAGGCGCTTGATGAGGCCTCGGAGCAAAGCTCGGTCCACGATTCATGAAGGGCGTCACAGTCACCTAGACAGAAAGCCGTGATCGTCGTGAAGCTGCAGCGGATACACATACAAGGAAGCCTTCCACAGATGTATTTCCACTCAGATGGAGTAGACGGTCTGGTTTCGACGGATGGCAAGCACACCAGCCTGACACCCTAAGTCATATTGTGGCCTTTACCCTGAGCTCAAGGATTCCCATGGCTGCTAGGCAAAAGTCACATCCCTCTTGCACTAGGAGCTGTTTGCAATAAGAAAATGCATGCCATGCGCATACGCCACCCTGGTTGTCCATGGCTTGCATTTGGGCTGAAGGTGTGGTGCTATTGTAGCAGTAGCTAGTTCATCGCGAATGATGGCCTCTGCTTGCCTCACCATGTGGCAGCCGGTCTTCCTCAGTCTCTTTGCCATGGGGCGAGCTATTTCCGAGACCATGCATGTTGCTGGTTTGCTGTTAAGGAACTTAAATTAAGTTACCATAATGGGTATATATCCTAAATAATGGGGTTTCCCCAATATAGTAACTTAATTTAAGTTCCTCAAATCCCCATATTCCCCCCAGTTTCCATTTCAT